TTATATTACTAATATTTAAATAATTATTTTTAAAAAAGAATTTAAGATTATATAAGAGACTACTTATAACGTATTTTAAAGATTAATAAAAATATTAATTTAAGATCTATAAGCCTATAATAATTAGATAAACTCTTTTTAAATTAATATTAATAAATTAATAATTAAGCGTTATATACGTAATTAAGTATAGATCTTAGACTTTAAGAAATTATTAAGATATAATAATTATCTTTATATTTCTAGAGATAAAATTTTAAGAAAAAAGCTTATTAATAAATATTATAATAATTTATTATTTAAATACTTTAACGCTATAAAAATATATAAACTATTTATTTATAAATATTATTAAAATAAAAACTTAAAATAAATTATCGACTATATTAAGATATATAATATTTATTAATAAATTAAGACTTTATAATATTATCTCTATAGTAAATTAAGTTCGCTTTTTATTATTATTAAATTATAAAAGAAAATTTCTATAAACTTTATTATTAATTTATTAATAAATAAATATAAGAGTATTATTTATAATACTATTCTAGTTATAATAAATCGATTTATAAAAATAATAAAATATATTTTTATATTTATTATAATTAATATCGCTTAACTAATAAAAGTATTTTATTCTAAAATAATATATTACTATAGTATATTAAACGATATTATTAATAATAAAAACTTTATATTTATTAATAACTTCTAATTCGCTATTTACTTTTATTTTAAAATTAAGCGATATTTAAATATTACTTTTTATTTATAAATCGATAAATAAATTAAGTATTAAAATTAGATATTAGAATACTTCTTACGCGTATTTACTAATAATAAATAAAATATCTAAACGAAATAATTATTAATAATAAAGTTCGCTTATATAAATAATTAATATTTCTTTATTAAAACGATATTATTCTTTCTAATATATAAATATTATTCTAAAATTTATTAAAAGATTAAGAATAACTTTATTAAGAAGAAAATACTCGCTATAAATAATAGAGTAAAGAAATTATAAGTATTAAGAAATAAGATAGTAGAGTATCTTTATAGCGCTATTACGACTTAATTTAAGTATTATAATAAAATATATAATTTAATAATATTAGCGATTAAGAATCTAAAATAAAAACGTCTAAGTAAGAAGTTATTTTATAAATTTATAAGACTATTTCGAATTATAGATAAGATAAAAACGTAGATATATCGTCTACTTTTACTCTTAATATATAAAATTTATATTATCTTTTATATATTATTATTTAAGTTTTATTATAATCGCGATTATAATAATATAGCGAATATCTTTATATAAGTCTTTAAGCTTATTAATAATAATAAGCTTTAAAAGATTAAAGAAATTATTAATAAGATTAAGTATAAGAAAAATATTTAATATAAAGTTAAATAAACTAGTTAGAGTAAAGAGTATAATTAATAATTATTAAATAATAAACTTATTAATATTAGCGAGCTAATCTAAGCCTATAAATAAGCGAGTAATAAATAAAAGTATTAAGTAATAAATAATAAGTCTCTTATTATTAAAGAGCTTAATTAATTATATAAATTAATAATAAATAAGTAAAGATAATAAAATAAGATATAATTATTAATTAGATTAGATATATTTCTAGATAATACTTATACTACGTATATACTCCTCTATACTTATTATTATTAAAATATAAATTAATAAATAATTATATTATTTAACTATTTATTAAACTCTACTATAGAGAAAATTTATTATATTAAAGTATATACTATTAATATAAATATATTTTTACTTAAGATAGCTATTAAAGAACTATCTAAAGATCTTATATTAACGCTATTACTAAAAAAAGATTATTATTTAAATATTCTTTATTATTTTAGCGTTAAAAATCGAGTTGAGTTTATTAATTTAATTCTCTAATAAGAAGATAATTAAAGTATAATCTTCGAGTTAATATTCGTTAATATTTATTATATATTAATAAAGACTCTTAAGCTTCTTCTTTAATAACTTATTTATTTTCTTTAATTTCGCTATATACTTATTTATTATTATAAATTAATCTTAAAAATTTATAATTATAATAAAAGCGATTAAAGTTATCGCTATTATATATCTCTATAATTTATATTATTAAATAATCTTTTTATTAAACTTAATTTATTAATAAGATAACTTCTAAAATTATTTAGCGTAGTAATAATATTATATTAATTTCCTTATCTACGTTTAAAGATATAAAGGAATTTTAATATAGTAATTAATATCGCGTTTTTTGATCTTATAATTATTATAAAAAAAAGACTTATTTTAAATATATAAATTATTATCTTAATAAAAGTAAGTTCTATATAATAAATTAGATATTAGAACTTATTAATAAATATATATATAAGATAATAATAATAGAAATAATTAAGAGTTAATAATCGCGTTTATAAAGTAATTATATACTTACTATTAAAGTTATTATTATTATTAAAAAAGAATACTATAAAATTATTAATTTACGTATTAACGCGATTAATAATAATAAGATATTTATAATAAAGAGAAATAGATTACTAGTATAATAAGATATATTATATTTATATTAGTATTAATATTAATATTATAATACTAGAATAAGTACTTATAAGAGAAACGTTAGAAATTACGAAGAATAAAAATAAATAATTTAAAAGAGATTTTTATATTCTCTATTATAGCGCTAATATTAATGAATAGTACTTAATAACGTAAATAATAGCGATATAATAATATTTCGCTATTATCTATAAGGCCGCGTTATCTAACTATTATTATTATTTCTACTATTATTATTAATTAATAATTAAAAATATTATCGCGAACGCGTCGCTCTATTAATTACTTTCTTCGAATCTCTATAATAAAGATTATTATTACGTTACTTCGCTATAGATATAATACGCTATAAAAATAACGTTACTTATAAAAAAACTCTTCTCTCTTCTTTTATCTACTAGATTTTTAAGATTTTATTATAAATTCTTAAATCTAATATTATTTACTATAGAGGCTATTAACTAGCGCTATAAAAATATTAATATTAAACGCGTTAATTTATTATAAATTATTATTAATTAATATTATAAAAGCGATATTATTCTTAAAGATAATATTAATATTATTATATAATATATTAATAACGCGTCTATAACGTATAATAATTAATTTTATTATATTATTAAAACGATATTATAATAAATTAACTCTTTTTTCTTATTTTTCTATTAAGATTTAAAGATTTTTTAATAAATATTCTATTTTTACTTAAGCGTCTAGAGATTAAAATCTAGAAGAGAAGATAATTATTAGATTTAATACTATTATAAGCCTTAACGCTACTTATATTAAAGCGCCGATATTATATATATTATATTAAAGTCCCTTTTAGAATTTAATTTTAATAATATATTCTATATACTTAGAGACTTAGCGAATATAGATTTACTTTATATATCTCGAAGTTTTAATATTTCTTAAAGATTAATTCTACTATTAAATATACTATTAAACTTTATAACGATACTATATCTTTTATAGTTTATATTTACTAGCTAACTATTAATAAACTATACTCTTATAAGATTTACTTCTTAGTATTTATTAAGAGAATAAAAGATTAATAAGTATTATTTTTATTTATATAAAAACTAATATAAGACGTTAAGATAATAAAATTATTATAATTTTAAAGAAATATAATTATTTAATTATAGTTATTAAGATATTAAATATTAAATATTTTAATAATATTTATTTTCTTATAACTTAAATTATAATAGTAATTATCGCTATACTTATAACGATATTTTTATATATTCTATATTTTAATTAACTTAAATTTTTTAATAACTAGCTACTTCTTAATATTAAGCTCTAGAAATTAATAGTATTAAATTTAAATTAAGTTTATAAAATAAGAATCTTTATTTATAAATAGAGGGTTATTAAATATAATACTTCGAAAATTATTATTTTCGCTAATAATATTATTAGAATTTCTATTAATATTAAAATTAATATTATAATTACTTAATTATATAATAGATATATTTTAATAAAAGTCGCTTACTAAGTTAAAAACGTCGCTAGTAAATTATAATAAGATATTTCTACTTCGTAAATTAATAGAATTAACTCGCGAGTTATTTATTATAGTTAAATTAAATAGCTTTATATAAATAAAGCTATTAAAATTATAAAATAATAAGATTTTTTTTAATAAAACTATATAATAGCTATATAATTATAAGATTTAAATATATAATTAATAGAATAAATAAATTAATTACTAGATAAATTAATAACTAAAGAAAAAAGAAGAAAAAAGAGAACTTATAAATATTTAAGACTTTATTAAATATATTAAATACTCGCTTTAACTATATAGCTTATAGTTTAATAAGCGATATAAGCGAGTTTATTAATTCGCTTCGAGTACTTTTACTCTTATAGTCGAATAGTTTTAAATAGATATATATTATTTAGAATTAAAATAACTTTTTTATTTTCTATTAATTTTATTTTTATTCTTTTAAATTATAGAATAAAATATATGCTTTTAAATAAATAAAGAATTATTAAATTTAGTCTTATAGATATTTAAAGATAACGAATTTAAATATCGTCTATTAAAAGTTCGCTTATTAAATTTACTTCACAGCCCTAATTAAAAAAATAGTTATAAATTTAATTTATAAATCTTTACTCGTTGTCAAGGAAATGGATGACTGGGTCATGAATTCATGGTGTGGTGTAAAGGTGTTGATTGTTCTATGTGCCTGCAGGGCACATATGTGCGGTGCCAAGCCACGCTAGGCCCAAATGGGTGGTGGCTCTGGAGGAGGCCTTGGCGTACCGTGACAACATGCCCGCAAAGAATGAAAAAAAGACACGTCCCCGTGGCTGCATCTCTGGATAGCTACATCAAGCGTGCGCTGTCCATATATCCATGCACCTATCCTTGGCCTATAGCCTCCATATCCTTCGCGAATCGAATGTAGTCGGGCGGAGAGGCGAGAGCGAGAAGAGAGGTGAGAAGAGAGGCGAGAGGGGTGGCGAAAACCGGTGTATTGCTGAGGCGAGAGGAAGGTTCTCCGCAATTATGCATAGTGGCCTGGTGTTCAATTGTGGAGAGTGTGCCCGCTTGAATAGGACTGCTGCTGTCCATGCTCTTGTTCTTCTCCATGATTTTCTCCGCAATGTTCTCCGCAGTTGCCTGTTGCAGTGGCTTATGCTTCTGTTCCTGCTCTGACGGCTGTGCCGGCTTTGGCGTTATGACTGACTGCTTTTGCTGTGGTGGCAGTGGGCCAAAGTGTTGTTTGAATGCCTGATCAAGCACGTGTTGAATGAGGACGGTGAGAGAGCTGACTTGCTGTGCTGAGAAGCCCGGGAGTGAGATTTGACTGCTAGTCATGATGTAGGTGTCAAATGGCCTAATGAAAGGATTGACTGTGTGGTCTGGTAGGCTGGTGAATAGCCTAATTGTCTGATTGCGTAGGCTGTGACGGCCTAGCTGCGTAGCGGAGCGCGGGGGGCTGACTGTCGGTATATCGTGACTGCGGGTTGAGTGACGGTATAGACGACTTGGGAGGACCTGGGTTAGGTGTTGCTACCAATTGTCAAGGAAATGGATGACTGGGTCATGAATTCATGGTGGTGTAAAAAGATGTTTATTATTCTACATGCCTGCAGGGCAGATATGTGCGGTGCCAAGCCACGCTAGGCCCAATTGGGTGGTGGCTCTGGAGGAGGCCTTGGCGTACCGTGACAACATGCCCGCAAAGAAAAGAAAAAAAGACACGTCCTCGTGGCCTATGCCATTGACCAATCAGAATGCACCGTTGCTACTGGCCATGATGGTCCTGATTCGCCTCCTCATCGTAGTAATTTGGCTGTGATCGTCGCAGTAGATCCTTCTCTTGTTTGCTCATTGCAGTGATGTGCCATACTAATGTGATATTGCCTAGGCATGCAGAGATAGCAGGCCAAATTGTAGTGTCGTTCTCCGCTTGCTGAGTAGCGATCTGACGTGGGATCTTGGAGAGCTGAGCCGTGTTCTTGCTGATGGTGGCCTTGTTGTCGCTTGCTTTCTCCGCAGTGTTCTCCGCATTTGCCTGCTGTAGTGACTTCTCTTGCACTGGCTGAGTGGACTGGTGTGAGACCGTGGAGAGTAGGCCTGTTGTGTCACTGCTGCTGATGACTGTCTCCGCATTGTTCTCCGCAGTGTTCTGTTGCTGTTTTAAGAGAGTTTGGGGACGATTGGAGCTATAGCAGTGGATTTGGTGTGTTGACGGCTTGGTGGAAGGTGCTTGGCACGAGTTCTCCGCTTGTTTCTCCGCTTGTTCCTGTTGTTCCCTGACTTCGTGGCTGTGGGCGATACGATTGAGTGCGTAGGTCATGAGGTCAAATGGCGTAGGGACGATGGGGCTGTAGTAGGCCATAGCGATATGTCAAATGGCCTAATGAAAGGATTGACTGTGTGGTCTGGTAGGCTGGTGAATAGCCTAATTGTCTGATTGCGTAGCGGAAGCGCGGGGGGGGCTGACTGTCGGTATATCGTGACTGCGGGTTGAGTGACGGTATAGACGACTTGGAAGAGGACCTGGGTTAGGTGTGGCTACCAATTGTCAAGGAAATGGATGACTGGGTCATGAATTCATGGTGTGGTGTAAAGGTGTTGATTGTTCTATGTGCCTGCAGGGCACATATGTGCGGTGCCAAGCCACGCTAGGCCCAAATGGGTGGTGGCTCTGGAGGAGGCCTTGGCGTACCGTGACACTCATTAATAATAAAAGAGTTCTCTTTATAGAGGTTAAAGTAATAAATATATTTTCTAAGTAGATAATAGCGATTTCGAGATATTTTTCTAATAAGAATAAAAGCTATCGAAGTAATTTTATTAGTTCTTTAATAGTTATATATAATAGAAAAGTAAAAGATTCTTATATATATAATAATAGCGATAAAGATTTTAAGCTTCGAAACGTTTATAAGCTTTTAATTAGAGTTTAAATTCTTCTATATAGAGATATATAAATTAATATTTTTATAGAGTTCTTTTTAGATAGTATTAATTTATATAAGATAAAATATTAAATATAAATATATTTCTATATTATTAGAAAGATAATTAATAATCGAACGATAGTTAATTATTAATAACGAGTAAAGATCTATAAATTAAATTTATAAGTTTTTTTTTTAATTAGAACTATCGAGTAAATAGGTGAGCGATCTTTAATAAGCGTATTACGAGCGTATTCTTAATATATTACTTAGCCCTTAGCTCTATAACTAGCGAGCCTTAGCGAAGATATCTTCTACTATATTATATCTTCTTTTCACATATATAGTTCGATAGCCTTATTATTCAATTCTACCTCATCTATACTAGTATCGCACCTATGCTAATTCTAATAAAGCGAACTTTAATAAGCGATATTTGAATTCCTTGCACTTTAATAATTATAAGACTAAATTTAAAAATTCTTTTTTTATTTAAAAGTCTATATCCCGTTCTATAATTTAAAATAAAAATTCCAAAATTTTAATAGAAAACAAAAAAGTTATTTTAAAATTAAATAATATATACCTATTTTTTAATTAGAGCTATCTATTCGACTGTCGAGCGAACTTTAGTAAGCGATATTTGAATTTCTTACGCTTTAATAATTATAAGACTAAATTTAAAAATTCTTTTTTTCTCTAAAAGCCTATATTTTATTCTATAATTTAAAAAAATATCTTAAGATTCTAATAGAAAATAAAAAAGTTATTCTAAAATTAAATAATATATATCTATTTTTTAATTAAAGCTATTCGACTACTTTAATAAGCGATATCTATTTTTTTAATATTTATAGACGTTAATTTATTTACTTATAATAACTTAATCGATTTAATTAAAGAGCGTAGTAATTCTAAATTTATAATTAACTATATATATAAATTTAAGATTTTTAAACTTAGCTCTATCTTATTCTTTTATATATATTAATTAATACTTTAAGAGTAATAAGATACGCTTAAGTAGATTATTATATTAATCTAAGTATTTCTTTCTAGCCTCGATCTAAGTAGCTTATTTCTAACGCTTTAAGACTTTATTTAATTTATTCTAATTAGATATAGATAGAGTAGTAATTTAAGATATCTTAAACTATAATTAGTTAACTAAATAAAGAAAGAAAACTTTAAGTCTTTAGTTATATAGTACTTTTCCGTAGTAACTATAGACCTCTATATTTAATTTATAGAAACTAGACGTATATTATAAGAATATCTCTACTCTAGTAAGGATCGATTACATCTTAAAACAGCTAGGAGGTCTCAATAATCTCTTATCTAGTCTAGAGGTGTTTATCGAATTGAATAGTTCGCTGATCGATTCAACAATCCTATTCGCATGAGTCGACTTTCGTGAACCGTATTCCCGAACTCGTACTAGAGCACCCATCCAGCTTTTATTCTTCGATGCTTAAGAAGAGAAAGGCTGATAAGATAGTATGCAAGCTGTAGGCTCAGTAATCAAATGACAGGACTGGGGACGTGTTACGGAGACTGAAGTTGCCAAGTCGCTGAAACTATACCTCGACAACTCTACCTATTATTACTAGAAAACGCAGTTTACTAGAAAATGTAGGTTTTTTAAAATCGATAAACCCGGCGTAATATTAAAATATCTACTTTCTATTAAAATATAGTCTAGCCTATACTAACGTATTAAAATCTATATTCTAAAGAGTATAAACGATAAAATACGTTCTATAATATAATTTAGAATTTAAATAATATAAATTAATTTATTATTAACTAAGTAATAATTAATAAAAGAATTTAAAATTATCTATCTTAATTATAGTCTACTCTTTAATTAATAATAATAACTTTATAGTAATTATAGAAGCTTTATACTTATAAGTATCGTAATTAATATATACTATTATTTATTATTCGAGTTTAAAATTAAGCGATCTTAAATAAGAGATAATAGATTAATTAGAGATAAAAAAGCTCGCTTAACTATTAGCGAGTAAATATTATATTTAATATTAATATCTACTCTATAATAGCTAAATCTATTTATTATAATAAATAAAACTTATAGAAGTAGTTATATATCTATATAGATCGTAAGATATATATATATAAGTCTTAGATAGAGTAGAAACGCTAGAAGATTAAAATTTTATTCGCGGTTTATATAGTAAAGTAGTATTCGAAATAGTAATTAGTTTATATAATCTAGTAATTAAGAATATTATATATAAAAACTCGACTACTAACTTATATATATATTTATATCTCTATAATATATATATATTAAGGTAGCCGTAGAAAAAAGACTTTAAAAACTAGAATATATTAGTCTATAACATACTCCTTTAGAGTAAAGTCTATTTTTTTTTATAAATTTTTTTTTAGCTATAGCTGAATTTAAACTATAAGTCTTTAAGAGTAATAGCTCGATATCGGGCTAGATTAAAGACTAGAATATTACTATAATAATATAAATACGTAAATAAATATTATAAATATTATAAATAAGTAAGTAAGTAAGTAAGTAAATAAGTAAGTAAGTAAGTAAGTAAGTAAGTAAATAAGTAAGTACTATAAGTACTATAAGTACTATAAGTAAGTAAGTAAGTAAATAATATAATTTCTTTATAATTATCTAATATACTTATCTCTTTATTATTTAAAATCTTATAAAGATAATAAATACTATAAATATTACTCTTTTAAGTATCTTAAAATTCGTCTTAAAGTAAATTTTATAATTATAAAATAATTAGATAATATATATTTTTATTATAAAGTAAAAAAGAACTTCTTATATCGACAATAGCGATAGTAATATTATACTTTCTAAATCGCTATTATACTTCTTTTTAAATATACTATTAAAGCGTTAAGAGTCTTTAATTTAAAAAAGATTAATTAATAAATAAGAGAAGAATAGTTAAAGAGATATTTTACTCTAGAGTAATTATTCTAAACTTAATATTTTATAAATATTATAAAATAGATAGTAATAAAATAATATAATCTAATTAAATTAAGTACTCTTAAGTTAAATTAAATCGAATTATTAAACTTTAAAATAATATTAGATAATCTTTTAATAATTTTCTTTATAAGATACTATATAGTCGATATCGATTAAGATTATTAATAGCGATAATAAGGTCTATAAATATCGTATTATAGCTTCGAAAGATCTTTATAAATAAGATAATAAGAGAAGTACGCTTAATAAGATCTATATAAAATCGTTATTAAATAGTAAGAGTTTAAGTAATTAATTTTTAATAAGATCTTAAAGTGCTTTCTAAAGACTTCGAATAAATTTAATTCATTTAAAAATATAATATCCGAGATTTCTTTAGATTATATAATAATTTAAAAAATAAA